CCTCTTGACCTCTTAAATTATCCCTAAATTTTGTCTTCTTTTTAAAAAGTTTTTACATGTTTTATTTATTTTTGAGAGAGAGATAGAGACAGCGTGAGCAGGGGAGGGTCAGAGAGAGAGGGAGACACCGAATTCGAAGATAGGCTCCAGGCTCTGAGCTAGCTGTCAGCACAGAGCCCGATGCGGGCTTGAACCCACGAACCGTGAGATCATGACCGGAGCCGAAGTCGGACGCTTAACCGACTGAGCCACCCAGGCGCCCCAGATTTTGTCTTCTTACACTACTACGTTTTCCTGAAGGTGAAGGCATCCATGCTATACCAAACCTGTCTTGTGCTCTATTACAAAGAGACTTTAATCCCAAGATGTCCAATATGGAATGGATTATCTCCCTGGTGCAGCCTCCTTTCACCAAACCTGGTTTTACCTTATACTCAGTGGCACCACCACCCATCCGGACACCCAGATTGACTTCTTCCATATTGAATCATATGGCAATTCGACCTGTGTCTCAAGTGTGACCTCTTTTCTCATTCCCACTTTTTTAGCTCAGGCCGTCATTATGTTTCTCTCTACAGAAGACCAGCCTTCTAACTTGGCTCCACTTCCTATCTTCTATTCTACCAACCAATCTTCACATATTTTCTAAGACAAAAAAAAATCTATTATTAACTTAATCATTATTCATTCATTCACTCATTTACTCACTTGCTTACTTACTTAATAACTTACTTACTTACTTTATTTATTTATTTATTTATTTATTTATTTATTTATTTTTGAGAAAGGGAGAGTGCACTTGGCTCCATACCCAGCACGGAGCCCAACACAGGGCTTCATCCCATGAACCATGAGATCATGACATAAGCCAAAATCAAGAGTTGAACTCTTAACCAACTGAGCCACCCAGATGCCTAGAACAGGGATTTTTATTTACCGTATTTATTACTGTATCCCCAGTGCTGAGAATAACTGAATGAATTAATGATGAACAATTTCAGCTGAGTTGTGAAAAGCATGTAGCAGTTTGTCAAGGGAACTAGGAGTGGGAGCCTGGGGGAATGGACACGGAATGTACAATAGACACAATGATAATATAACGGAGTCAAGGCACTTTGCAGGAATTTAGAGGGAAATAAACCCACACGGTGGGTTTCCATAACATGTTACTAAGTAAAAATATGCGATCAAGTGAGTAAATGAGTTAGTGAATGCATGATTGAATTAATGATAGGTTTTTATCTTAGAAAATATGTGAGCATTGGTTGCTGGAATACAAGATAGGAAGTAGAGACAATTTAGGTTTCAATAGGGTAATTGGTGAGAGAACTCCTTTCTGATGAAGCACATTTGAACTGAGACCTGAATGACGTGAAAGACTGAGACACGTAGATATCTGCAAGGAGAGCCTTCCAGGACATGGGGATGGCAAGTGCTAAGGCACTGTGGTGGAGGTGTGCTAAGGTGCTTGAGGAACAGCGAGAAAGTTAGAAGGTAGTCAGTGAAGGGCAGTAGAAGTCTCTAGGATGCCGGCTGGATTTTGCAAGGCGGAGTTGGGCACCCATCTCTCTGTGCTCAAACAGTGCTTGACAGGACATTGTGCTGTTATAAAATGGCATATGGTGTTCACTATTTGTGTGTGTCTGTTTCATTGCTAATACCATCAAGGGTGGGGACCATTTTGTACTCTTTGTTGTATCTCCAGGGCCTAGCCCTGTGCTCGGCAGGTGCTTGCACCTTTGCTGAAAGGATGAATCAGAGGCCCTTGCCATGCTTTCTCATGCTTGAGTCCCCTGACTAAGGTGTGGGTCTACATTCTTCTTTTCATCACCTCATTCTCTTAGCATCTAGTGTTAATCTTTCACCAGCTTTGGCCACTTTTCTCCTGGCACCTTGCATCATGGACTTTCCTGCATGGATTTCTGTCACGACGCTCCACGCCTCCCCAGGGTTCCTGTGTATTGTAGTGACAAGTGCGGCCAAAGGGCTCTGCATATTAGAGCCTGGAAAGGCTGACCAGGGCACTAAAAAAAGGGTAAATGTATAGGGTGGGTTCAGAAAATGGAAGAGTTTGCAAGTTGAACAAAGACAGGTGACTGACCATGGTTATTTAGAAATGTCACCCTCAGGGGCACCTGGGGGGCTCAGTTAGCTAAACATTTGACTCTTGGGTTTGGCTCAGGTCATGATCTCACACGTCAGGAGTTTGAGCCCCACGTCATGCTCTGTGCTGACACTGCAGAGCCTGCTTGGGATTCTCTCTCTGCCCCTCTCCCTGCCCCTCCGCCATTTGTGCTCTCTCTGTCTCTCTCTCTGAAAAAAATAAACTTAAAAAAAGAAATGTCACCTTGAAAGTGTGCTTTAAGCTTTTATAAATACTACAATATTTTTGTCATAACCTATTTTTTGTGAAAGAATGAATAAACTCTAGACCTTAACTTACTTTGATATGACCAAAAAGACATATATTAGGTATATATAGACATATGTAATATATTAGATATTATTCTAAATAATAGGGTTTCATAAGATGTCAATCCCTGTAAGTAGGTGACATGTATAAAATGAAACTTTAATTTTAAGAGCAAGAAGTTGGAGTTAATTTTTCAAAGATAACAATCCAAAATATTGTGAGTACAAGTAATAATCACTAGCATACCAAAAAAGCCTCTAAATTGTTGAAATAGGTGCCATTAAGAATGTGAGCAAAATTTATACATCTTATCATAATATAACTTTTGAGTTCCTTATGTAAAATTTACTCTGATTTCATACATGATTATAATAATTTGCCCATTGTTTTAAATCACAGCAGATCAAAAGTAATAACATTGTCAGAGCAGAAGATGGTGGAGGACGTCACAGCCACAACATGGATGGATGGATGCCCAGTTGCACAGTAAAGGCAGAAAGACAAAGAAGTGGACCTCAAGTACTCAAAATGATAGCTATGGAGGTGAACAATGCGGTGGCTTTGCGATACCACCTTAGAGGTGCATAAGATTTTATCTCCAATGTCGAGCTGAAAGACTCCAATTAAGAAAAATAGTATTTCTTTGTTTTTCAAATTTTATCTGCTGACAAAGCCTTACTTGACTTACACTTGTCTGGCCACAAACAAGTTCCGATCCGAACTTGTATCAGTTCATAAGTAGCCTTGATTCTAATTTGTTTGAATCTGTTTTGCTGAGGAAACAATCTGTTAATTACAGACCCGGGTGGGGGTGTTATGAATATATGGCGTAAGCACCATGCGAGATCTGGTGCAGATTACCCAGATGAAGAGTACCTTCATTAGATTTCAATGCCTTTGTGTAAGGGGTAATACAACCCCTTTACTACCTGTGTAGTAAAGTCTTGAGCGCACACAATGCTACCTATGATTAATGAGATCAGAAATACTCTGCTTAACATGGTAAGAACGTGTGAGAAATGCTTCAAAGTTTTGCATTTAAAAAAGTGTCCATTAAAAGAAAGGGAAGTTGCAGTGTATTTGGAAAGTCAATACTGGTTTATAGCACACTTTAGAGGTTTTCCCCTGTGTGTGTGTGTGTGTGTGTGTGTGTGTGTGTGTATTTCCAAGTCATTTGAGATGAAATTAGACATGGAATCTGGGGGATATATTTGCTCTTGCCTTGCTGAAACTTGGATGTGTGCACTATTATCAGGGAAATTATTTTTAAGGTTGTTGGAGTTTCCTTGAGCACCAGGGATATCTGAGTGAGAAAGCTCTTCAGAGATCCTAATTTCCTTTTTAAAACCTTCCAAATTTGTAATAAGAGTTTTGTTCTGTTTTGTTTTGTTTCTACCCCTCCCCCAGGATTCTGCTGCCAATGAAGAAAAAAATTTGGGTGCCAACTTAAGGAAACAGAGTCTGTGTTTGCAATGCCAATGAGCGTACCCAAAGGGAATTGTTAAACAGCCTGACGGGTATAGCTCAGTAACCTGAAGACATAAAAACACAATTTTAGACACACGGAATGAAAATTTAAAAACCTAGCTGAGTTCCAGAAGGAGTAAAGCATTCAGGAACACCCAAAAGTCACAATAGATAAGAAAATATTACTATGTGATTTTCTCAGCCACAAAATAATGTAGGTACATAGTTTAAAATTCAACTATTATAGAAATGTGTGGAACTGAAAGAGTGGAAGTAACTGCTAACTATAGAGTCACCTCTCTCCCCATAAAAATACTGTTAAAGCGTTGGCTTATTTTTCTCTTACATTCTGTTTTATTATAAATTAATTCATACCAGATAGTGCATTGCAACTAGCCTTTCTTCCTCCCCCTCCCCCTTAACAACTATATATCTTGATGCCCACTCAAGTTAGTAGTTAATTACCACTTCACTCCTCTCAATCATAAGCTAGAATTCCATTTAATGGCGATACTGTCATTTCAAATTAGTGATTACTTTTTCCCATGGTTGTTTTACTTTTTTCTTTTGAACCTCATTTACTTAGACACATGTAGAAAAATAAAAAGCCTAGTGTTGACTAGAAAAAGTTGCGAATAGTGAAATAAGGGCAACTTTCCACTTGTGTGGAATAAGCAGAAAATGATCTCAAAAAGATAAATGTTGTCTGCTGTGCATTTTAAAGAATATTCAGAAAAAAATAAAGGAAAATAAAAATAAAGAATATTCAGTTGTTATTAGTAAATTGATAAATCTCTCTCAGATTCAAAAATTAAATTTCCCCCAGTTGTACAGAAGCACTAGAATTTCTGGGGAAAATGAATCTTACTGTAGAAATAAACTGCACATTTAAAACTGGGAACAGAATAGCTGTGGTCCTGCTCAGAACGGAGTGTTTTATCTACAGAGCTCATCAGTCATTGAAAGGTCAGGGATAATAAGCAATGAGGCATTCTGATGACCTGTGTCAAGGTAAATAAAAGAACAGTAACTGGATCGCTTGCACTACAAATCAGACAATTGCCTTGTCCTTCTTCTGTGATTCTGTCTCATCTCTTTCAGACTCTCCATAGCGATAGCTGTCTCCATGCATTAAAGTCAGCCCTGCTGTATGCAATTCAACAATATTTTCCTCCTTCGGAAGCAAGGACACTAAGTAAGGGGACTCACTTTACAATACTATTGTGATCTATCCAGTTAGCCTTGTTCTCACTCCCTTCCTGCCCTCAGAGGAAACCACTGTCTTGAATTTTATGAATAACATTCCTTTGTTTACACACTAGCTTTTTTCTTTTTAATGTTTGTTTATTCTGAGACCAAAGAGAAAGCTAGAGCTGAGCAGGGGAGGGGCAGAGAGAGGGAGAGAGAGAGAATCCTAAGCAGGCTCCACACTGTCAGCAAAGCCCAACACGGGGCTCGAACCCACAAAGCGTGAGATCATGATCTGAGCGGAAGAGTCAGACGCTTAGCCGACTGAGCCACCCAGGCGCCCTACATATTAGTTTTAATCAAATGTATATGTGTTCCTAGATAACATACCACTTAGTTTTGCTTGTTTCTGAGCTTTGTGAAAGGGCAACTTGTACACAGTCTTCCGTGAACTTCATTCAATGTTCTGTTCCTAAGAGTTAACTGTGTTGCTGAATGTACAGGTTGTTTTCTCATGTTCACCACTATAGAATGCTTCATGATCTGGATATGGCAACATTTTCTTTTATTCAATTGTAAGTACTTTGCCATTCTCATTCGTGATTTCTTCTTTGATCCAGGAGTTATTTGGAGCCTGTTTTTATTTTATTTTTTGAAGTCTATTTTTAAATCCCATTTATTGACATTGGCCTTTAGAACTTAAAATGCACTGTTATTTAGTTAGCCTATTGATTTCTAAATCTATTGGGAGATTTGAGCAGAGACTACAAGATCTAAATCAGTGATCAACAAACCCAGCCTGCCACTTGTTTGTCTCTACTTGTGAACTAAGAGTGGTGGGCACATTTTAAATGGTTGAAAACACAAAAGAAGGATCATATTTTGAGGTATGTGAAAATTATATAAAATTCAAATTCTGTGTGCCTAAATAAAGTTTTATGGGAAAATGGCCATCACCATTAGCTTAATTACTATCCTTGCTCCTGCAGGAAACGATAGTTGAATTGCATAAGTGTATTTTCTAGAGCAGCTTTCATGCAGCAGTAGCAGAATTTAGTAGTTGGAACAGAGACCTGCAAAGCAAACGTACTTACTACTTGGTCCTTTACTGGAAATGTTTTTCAACCCCTGGTCTAGATAATACAAATTCTTTGAAACGTATTAAATAAGCTGGCTAATTTATGTAAATACTTTTTATGGGTTTAATGAGAATGTGCATTTTCTAAGTACGTATGCCAACGCTGTCATCTCTATATGTTGTATATCTCTGTCAATGTGTACGCATGGAATTCTGAATAATTTATCAATAAGTGAAAGGGTGTTGAAATATCTCTCCATAATGGTGAATTTATCAATTTCTCCTCGTAGACTTTATCATTAAGTGGTGACCCTACCTCCAATAATACTTTTTTATCTGGAGTCCATTGTATGTGATATCAATACAGGTATACCAATCTTCTTTCCATTATTATATATCTGATATATTGTATGTTTTTAGTTCCTGGAGCGTCAAAACAGGAGCAATAATAACATCAAAGAGCACTCACTACAGATCACCCCGTCAAATATGATAATAATGAAAAAAATTTAAATATAGCAAGAATTACCAAAATGACCCACGGAGACATGAAGTGAAGCAAAAGGTGCTCTTGGAAACAAAAGATGCTGATTGACTTGCTGGATCTAGGCTGCTGGATCTACAAACCTTCAATTTGTAGAAAATCCACCCAATGTTTTTGAAGTGCAATAAAGTAAAGGGCAATAAAACAAGTGATGCCTGTCTACCTTTTCTAATTTATCCACAGATATGTTTTGCATCATTTGCTTTTAAGACCGCCTATGAAGCTACACATGAGAGTCCCTAAATGATATTCAGACATTAGATTGGGGAATTGGAATGGAGAGGGGTATTTGAAGAACATATTTGTCTCCTTGGTAGTTTAGATATAGCTCTTAGTCTTCAGATTATGTGTGTTTAGCCACTATAATTTCTTCACATTTTCTTTATCTGGCTTTTATACCCAGCTGTAGATTTAATATGTTCCTCAAGTTTTGCACCTTCACTCCACATCTGAAAGACCCCATTCACTCCATTTATCTACCTTCATTCTTTCCTGCATCATTTTCATCCCATATACCAACATTAACAAATGAGATTTTCCGAAAGGAGAAACTTGTACATGGTTAGCACTATAAACAGGTAAGTTTGGCCAATTCGTAGGAAAGTATAAAGCAGATTATTAACAATGATTCCAAGCAATTAGAAACGGTGATAGAGATCATTGATGCCAGAATAGGTTAATTTGAAAACACATCTGGTTTTTTATCTATACCATGGAATACTACATGGCAATGAGAAAGAATGAAATCTGGCCATGTGTAGCAACATGGATGGACCTTGAGGGTGTTATGCTGAGCGAAATAAGTCAGGCAGAGAAGGACAAATACCATATGTTTGCACGTATAGGAGGATTAGGAGGAACTTGACGGAGGACCAAGGGGGAGAAGAAGGGCGGAAATGGTGGGGGAAAGGGAGAGAGGCAAACCATGAGAGACTCTTGAATGCTGACAAAAACTGAGGACTGATGGATGTGGGGGGGAGGGGGGGATGGGCATGAAGGAGGGCACTTTGGGGATGAGCACTGAGTGTTATGTAGAAACTAATTTGACAATAAACTATTTGTAAAAAAAAAAAAAAAAAAAAAAGAAAACACATCTGGTTTAACTAGATTTGCTTTTTTCTATTCTTTACTTTCTTTGATAGGTACTTGGGCCAGTATATGTAGGGATGCTAGAGACCGTGGATTTTCATTTCAGTAAAGCATTTAGAAAACTTCTCATAAAATCCTTGCTGGTTACAGTATGATTGCATGAAATAAAGTGCTTGACCTTAACTGTTGGTTCATGAATTATTATTATCTTGGAGATTATTCTTGGTGGTGGGCTACAAGGCTCTTTGCTCAGCCTGTTTTATATAACTTTTATTAGACTTAAGTGGAAACAAACCATGTTCATTAATTTTACAGATACTATAAGTTAAAAGTGATCACTAATAAGATTTTTAAGTCTGAAATTATGTCTTAAAACAAACAAGATGAAATTTAATATGGATTAAATGCAAAACTTGGGTTTAAGCATGTACAATTGTAGAAATATAGACTAGATAATGTGGAAAGTATGGTTTAATTGTAGTCCATATAAAATAGACTTAGACGTTTTGTTCAGCTCTAGGTAATATATTTGCTAAAGGAAAAACCCAACACAAGTTTGGGATACCTTATTCACAGAGTCTGTATGCTTAGATCAAAGGGACTGCTGATTACATTATGACAAATTTCTTGGCTCACAGTATTTGAATATTGTGCTGTCTTTCTCTTTTTAAAGTTTGTTTGTTCGTTTTGGGAGAAAGAGAGAGCAAGTGAGCAGGGGAGGGGCAGAGAGAAAGGGAGAGAAAGAATCCCAAGCAGGCTCCCTGCTGTCAGCTCAGAGCCTGATGCCAGGTGGGGCTCGAAATCACTAACGGTGAAATCATTCAGATCACCTGATCTGAAACCAAGAGGCCTACGCTTCACCAACTGAGCCATGCAGGGGCCCCTGTTGTGGTATCTTGAGAGTACAATTTGAGAAGAAAAGGAAAAGTCAAAGGACATTCAAAGCAGGGCAAAGAATGTGGTTATGAGAGTTTACCATTCCATTTGACAAATAATCAAAGGATCTACAAAATTTGAAGAATGGAAAACTATTAGATATTCTGATAGCTACCTAGACGTTTGCTTCAATATTTCAAGGCTTGCGATGTCTATAAAGAATGATATCAGTTAACTTCTGGGGGACGGAATCCACACTAGTGCTGTAAGCGAAGGGAAGTTGATTGATGTTTAGAAATCGAATGATTACAGACCTGTTAAGCAGACCTGGATCTTAATTCTGGCACCAGCATTGGCTTTGGCAAAAGGAACGATACTTCTGAGCTTTATCTTCCTGTTCAATAGGGATAATAAGGACTATCTTATTTTAAGGATTCGAAATAATACATAAAAATTGCTTAGTTCCTAGCATACGTGAAAACTCAATAAATAATCATGATTATACATAATATTGATAAAAATAAAGATTTACAGCATTGTAACACTTTAAGTGGATGATGATACGGTGGAAATATGGAGACGATTTCCATTTAAGACAGGGGACTTGACTTAAACATCTATTTGAACATTTATTTCCACCTTGATGTGAATCCTTGCTTTCCCCTGACTGCACCGTCTTTTCTCTTGCTCCACAAAGCAAGCAGGTCCACTCTCTTAACCAAGTTTATCTTCGTTAATTTCTGAGAGTCAATTCCTTTAAAGAAGTCAGAAGAGGAAGGGGGCGTAGCTATGACAAACGAGTGTTTCAAGAGTAAGGAAAAGCAACATTAGGAGGCTGAAAGGCTTCTCATTTAGTGTCTCCCAGAGCTGCTCATGGAGGAGGCAACAATTACAAGGGTCGGTTAAGAGGCATTCAGTAAAGTCTCCACCGCTTCAAACCACATCAGGCTCTTGGCAAGAGCTACGTGAAGGACGGGATCCAAGGCAGCCTTGCGAAGCGAGTCTGGGCTTGCTGGCTGGGGCTAAGGACCAAATGAAGGCCCTTGAGTGCCACTAGTTGATGGCTTGAATTGAGACAAAAGCAGAGGAGGGTGACAAAAAGGGGAAAATGGGTGGGAGGGCCTCGAGAAGGAAGGTGAAGGTTGGAGGGTCGTTGGGCGCGGCGGGCTTACCGCCCGTAGGATAGTGAGCAGCAGGTGTGCATCAGGACCCCGGGCGATGTAACTGGGAGTTCCCCTTGGCCGGGGGCATCGACCCTTGCCCGGAGGGGAACCTCTCCACGCGCCCGGTTCCCTTTCCCGCGTCTCCCAGCTGCTCGTCTGTCCTGCTAGGGCACTTCTCGAAAGCGGTCCGCAGCTGGGAACCCTGGCCCGACTTTGATGGCCTAGATAACTTGGCGCGGCATCTCGCCGCCTTTTCTCCCGCTCTTCCCCCGCCCACCCGGCCCCACCGCCCAGTTCGCCTCCAGCGCGGGGGTCGACCAGATACTCCGCGGCTCGGCTGCCGGCAAGACCCGGAGAGTGGAGCCCGCTCCGGCCGCGGGGGCGGCGCGCGCGCGCTCCTCGCCGGGGTACTGGGCATGCGCGGCGCGCGGCTGGCTTTGGCGGCGAGCGGGTGAGCGCGCGGGCGGCTCGGGACTTCGCAGGCGGCGGCGGGCGCGGCGGTGCTGCCCGGCGGGAGGCGGGCGCTGAGCTCGCCCGGGAGACCCGTCCTCGTCTGCCGGGCGCAGGCGGCTGCCGGGCGGCTGGCGGAGGATCGGAAGGGCGCGGTGCAGGACGGGGGCCGTCTCCCGGCCCCCCCCCTGCCTCGTCGGGGCTCCTAGCGTCTCCGGGGACAGCCACGGCCCCGAGGGCGGATCCGAGGTAAGAGACCCCCGGGCGAAAGGCGCCGGCCGGGGGTCGGGGGTTTGGACCCAGCCTCGGGTTTGAAAACCCGCCTTTGTGTGCTGGGGTGGAGCGGTGCCAGGCGCCGCGTCCGCTTTCCTTCACTTTGGCCGCTCGCAACTGGTGGTGGGAGCCGGGTGCGCCGGGGCCCCGGGAGGGCTGGGCAGGGGACGCCCCGTGTCCTTGTGATGGCTCCTGGTGACCTGAGCTTCCGCGCACACACCTGCGCGTGTCTGGTCCGCGGAGCAGAGGACCTGCACCGCGGGCGTTCTCGCGGCCGGCCTCAGGCTCGGGGGTTCGAGAGCGACCCCTCCCCACGCCTACACGGAGGGTGGCTTTCCAAAGTGACACCTGGTCCCGCCGTCGCATACCCCTTCAAATGAAGGGAGCTCATCGGGTTTGAGTAGTTGGCCCTCCCGACTCCTTGCTGTGGACTTTGCGTCCTTAGTTGCGCTGCGCTCACCATCTGACTTCTGAAAGAGCCTTTCTGGCGTCTTTGGCAGCGAAAGCCTGTGGAGTGGACTTCCCCACCTGCGGAGACCCGGCTCGCTTCTCCTCGGGTCGCTCTTCCTGCTTCCCATCCAAGGACGATCTGAATGCAGAAATCTCTGCACGGATTGTTCTGTTCCTTCGCACTGGTTCTCAAATCCTCCTTTTCCCGTGGGGCCCGGGGCGCTGCGGGAATCTCCTTGTGGGTAGGGCGCTGTGCTGTTAGGATTTGAAATCCACGCCTGAGGGATCGGGATTCTCCTTTACAGAATCTATTCCAGGGCAGTGTATTACTGCTTTTCTTTTGAAGGTTTCAGTTTTGCTCTCATAATAAGAGGAATAGCTACTCTCTTAAGAGTTCAGGTACGACCTGGTTTCGGATGCAGGCGAATACTTTGGTTTTGGCATCGTTATTCTTTTGGGAGATGGGAGAGGTAGGAGTCCCCGGAAGACCACATATAGATATATAGATATACACACGTGACACTGAAGTAGCTCTGTTGTGTGTTGCTTCTAATTTATTTCCTCTGAGAAGATACCATTCTACAGGGACTTGGGTTTTGGAAACTGTGCATCAAATGTAGAACAAGTAAGTGGTCATTGAAATTAAAGCCAGTGTCATCCTCTCTGACCTACTATAGATTTTCTGTTTGGAATGGAGTTTTTTGGACAGGTTATAGTTATAATAGACTATAGTTCTTAAGTGCTAATGTGAACAAGTTTTGGTCATGGGCCCGTACTGTGACCTACAGTGAGAAAAATAATGCAGTTTGTGGAATTGCCATTAAAGGACAGACTGTATAACAA